GGAAATTGCGTTGCCGCTAGTCTCGATCGAAAGGTTTGCCTGCAAACATAGGTGTCATTTTGGTTGTGTTGGTAGAAAATAGATGTCCCTGGTTGACCCGGTTGTTTCATCTTCTACCAGGGGCCATCTATTTACCCAAAAGAACACCTATGCTCCCAAATGGTCGCGGCCACTCCCGAGGGTGTAAAACCAAGTTCCCTTTTGAGTTCGTCCAATTGAGGCTTTGGAGTTGTTTGCTTCCTTTTGTAAAACAAGTAACACAACCAACAACAAGGGGGCGAAGCTGGAACTTGTTGGTTTTCTTGGCTTCCCCAAAAAAGTGCAAGGGAACGGTGGCTTCAATTGAGCTCATGTGCCTATAAACTTCTTATAGGGAACCACCTGATAAGTGGCTGGTTGACCCAAATTCCGAAATGATGTCCACCAAAGGGTCCACTATCAAAAAATAACGCCTGTATTTTTGTTGAGTTCCCGACTGACAATGGATTTTGGCGAGTATCCCCCATTTCCAAAGCCTGTCGACACACCCATATGGGTTACGTCTTTGTGTAAGGGTGCCGGCTTTTGAACGGAAATCAAAAGGAAACAACACATTGGGTTCCCGGGCCCCCTAAAAGAAGCCGAGCCACCCAAATAGACCGTGAAAACCCAAACATGTCTCTCTCGTCTTGGGCAAAGGGCCCAGTGAATCGCTGGCGTGTGCACAAACTCGAAGACCTTCTCGCTCTTTTGCTTGGGATTCCTCAGAAAAATCGCCCAAACGACGCGAGCACGGGAGCACAAAAAGACGCAAAACACGAATACCCATATGGCCCATATAGTAAAAGAACCCTCATTGTTTGCTACCTACGCTTTTGGTGGCTCCTTTGCTTCAGAGTGTGTGTGTGTGTGTGTGTTTGTGCCGAAAGCGAGATAAAAACACCAACTTGCGTCCAGTGAACGACATCCAGGTGAACAAACTCTTGCAAGCTACTTGGGTGTTCGGCCAAGATAGTAAGCTGTTTGGTATTGGTCCCCATTCAGCGGGGTCAACCTTGTTAGGGGGTTGTACGCAAATGGCGAACCACCATACTAACTTGGCCGAGTATGCACAATATCCGAGTCATGTGTCTGAAAGGTGCCACCGTGATTTGCTGTTTCAAAATGGGAAGGAACCACCAGAATGGCGGCTTTCATTTTCGGCTTCCCTCCAAGCCCAAGCTAAACAAAAAGGCTTCAGCACAGTATGACCCCCTAGTTTAGTGGAAAAACTCACCACGAATCATGGCTTAAACTTGAGAAGCCAATCACCAAATCTTGGATCTTCCATTCTCTCAAATTAGTCGATTCCTAAGTCTTCGACATCATTGCTTGATTCAATAGTATTCACGAGCTTTGGTGAATACGCGTTCCTGCGTATCTCGAAGGGTTCCAAGTGAGTCACAATCAAAACCGCGCTCAAACATGATCGACCCAGAACCAGGTAAAGAACTTTTTAAGGCGGATATATGGCAAGGGGATCGTCCCTTACTAACCCTGGGCTGTCCTCAGATCCCCCGCTCAAAGCTTCACTTTTAGTGGGTAAGGAAATCCAGCCACTAAACACTAAAAAGCTAAAAGACCAAATAACCGGATGGCCTTCGGGAGCCACCAAGCAACCCTCACTTACCCGGTGCTGGCCAACCAGCCCCCGCCTGCCCCAGGACAGCCGCAGCGGCACCTCTCCCGACTCGTGGATGGCCTCAGGTCGAAACGTCCCGCGAGGCCACGCGGGCGGACCAAATGACCCGGCGCCCAAAACCTCATCCATGGCTGATAAGATTGCCTTACATCCTGAGTTGATGAAGCCAACCAAAAAGTCGAAACCGTTTGTTTGCCCCTAGAATGGTCTTCCCAACATGTTTAAAGTCCAAGAACGCAGGGAGTGAGTTGACTTTATAGGCACTCCCAGTGCTTCCAGCTACCAGGATGGTAAGTAACTACGAGGGGAAACCATCATGTAAAACCCAGTGCTTCCTTCCAGTCACGACGATAGTAGGCAATCAGAAGGAAACCGTCACGTAACATCTACCGCTAAGCATCCCTGGGCAAGCCTACGAAAGCGGTGCCCTGCATGGAAGGCACGGGGTTTTTGTACTTGAGGCACGACTATTTCAATCACTGCACAACTTGCTCAATTTGCTCATGATTGGGGGTGTGCTCGCTGCTCACCTGTTTTATAATGGGGATCTTGCTTTTCCCTTTTGGGTAGGTGGTCCAGTGCTCCTATGTCCTACCCAAACTGATGGAGATGATCTCCAACCCGGTCGGGATGTAGAGCTCTGGAAGAATCTCCATGCCAAAGCACAGCCCGGTGCAGGGTGGTGCAACTCCCCTGCGCAAAGGGCCAGCCGTGTCGCTGGGTGAAGTGCAACCGATCCGCAACCGTCACTTCATGTTCCTTAGAGCACCCTGTCTCAGGTTGCTTCGTTTGGGCAGGGCGCGCAGTATCTCACCTGCGATCCAGCGGATTGGCCACAGAAAGGTCTAGGAACTTTGCATTTACCACTAAACTGGCCTTCCCAAATAGTATAAATAGTCCAAGAACTCGGGGAGTGAGGTATGCTGGAAGGACTCATCTAGAATAGAATATGCTCGTTATCCTTTCGTGTTGGCCATGGTGTGCTGCCATGGGCTGCATTCTGCCAACGTCAACGGAGCAAAGTAATGCAACAGCAAGACGGAATCAAATGAACCAACGGGGCGTTTCCCAAAATACGAATCGGTCTCCGAAAGTGGCGTAACGGTTTCCGATGGGTGTCCTTTAAAGACCAACCAAAGGGGTCCGGAACTTCATTTTGAGAAACTTCAGCCAGTCAACCGGCGAACCACTCTGCGGCTCATGGAAGAAACTGCTCGGAACTTTGATCAACTCCAACCATAACAGCTGAGTTTGTCTCCAAGGGTCCCATTAACATTTGCCTTGCTTCCCTTTGAAACTCTCAAGGGGGGTCCAGCCAAGAAAATGACATACCCAGCACGCAACAGCAATTCCTAGTCGATGGTCACATGGTCACCCCCCAAGAATGGCATTCCCGAGGTTCAAGATCTTATGCTGGTTGATATACAAGGCGCCTCCACCCGTGCTGAGATCCGATGCAGCTACCACAAATGACTAGGCTTTGGTTTCCCAGAAGCACGGGGAAATGCCTGCCATCACCCTCCAACTGCCAAGAAACCCATATGGCTCCAACAACCGGTACCAAGATGGACCCCTGGTAAGTGGACACATGCACCAAAACCTGCGGTTTGCCCCTCCTGTTTGATTTTGAGCCACACCCATATCCAACATCCCCTTACGGCAGCCAAACACAGTGGTTGGGACCCACGTGCCGGTGGTTATCTATCGCTTGCCTGGGATCTGGGATGACGATCCATTTCCTCATGACCCGAGGAATTCCCCCCGATGCCACAAGCAAAACTCACAACTCCTCGATGGGTATTGGTCAAAATAGGGTACAAATGGGTATGGGACGAGGAATTGGGTCCCCAAAAAACACGTGGTACAGGCTAAAATTAGTGTGGGTCCTTTTGGATTCCCAATGAACCAACCCAAGAACGTGTGCCGGTGAAGCGTTTGCTCCTTCCCCCGCATCGAAGGCATGCCGATGCGAATCGATCTGGGACACCTCGCTGATTGGCACAGAACCTGGCGCCAATGACATTTCAGAATTCCCGGTACTTGGTGTCTTCTTTTTCAGGGGGGGCCAAATGTGGATGGGTTTCACTTTGGTGGTTTTACTGGGAAACAAAGGGGTCCGAGCCTCCAAGAATGGGTGGTGTTCCTTTGGTTTCCCTTCAAAACCACCAACAAACGGGTACCGAGCCTCCAAAAAAAGACGAGCCACCCATTTACATATTCATTTTTGGGTGGAGCCCGGTGGTTCGGTGTTGGGTGAAGAAAGCACCGGTCTCCAAACCACCAACCATCCAGCACCCGAATCGGCCCCAACCACTGCTTTTTCAGTTGCCGTGGGGGATCTTGAACATGGACAAGACAAGTTTGCGGAAAGAATTACCTGATATATTTTATTCCCCAAGCCTCGATGCGAGTTGAGTGCAATCCACGCAAAAACGTTCCAAGCAAATCTCACGTGAATGAGGGAGTCCCAGAGTGAAGGATTTGGATCCGAGGGACGGATTGAAAGGAATGCAATAGAGGGTATGTAAACAGAATTCCCATGCCGTTCCCAGGACCGATTCGGACTGAGGGTCTGAAAACAAGTGACAACCCTTTTTTCCTTCTGGGAAAACCCGTGCCATTTGGGTTTCTCTCTTGGAAAGAAACACACTAGGGGCCATCTAGCACCCCAGCTATGCTCTGGCAGGCACCTAACTCGGCCGCAATTGACTGATTGCAGACTGGTGTCAGGCCTCTTTTTTGGCGAAGGGCAACAAAACATCCTTGAGCATGCTGGATTCCCTCAAAATCTACGCAGCAAAGCTAAGACCCCCAGATAAAATTTACCTCCCAATGGCTCGGAAAAACTAACGATGTCTGAACTCCAACGTAGAATTAATAAATTTGCAAACTCTCAAAACTAAAAATTGACTTGTTCTCACACAACATGACCGTAATGTTAAATCGGAACAATTTGAACAAGCGGTTACCAGAAACACGGGGTTTGGATACGCAAGCTTGCAACACCCAACCCAGATACCGCGTTGTTCTTTCCCTGCCAGGTCACGCAAATGCGGGCACCGCTATATATGTATGTACAAAGGCTCTCTTGAGAGCCCATCGTTGGGTCACATGAAGCTGAATGAACACCACAGAACATGCCCTTCAACGAGAATCCAATGGGTTTCCAAACAAAATGTGACGCCACACACATGAAAGGATCGGAAAGAAGCTGCCTGGACCCTCAAACTACCCTCCAAAAGGGGAGTCACCCCCATAGTTCATGTTTTTATGGGTAGTTTGAGGGCCCAGGTATACTTTGCCAAGAGCCTTTGGCACTAACAATCGATTCGCAGGTATCTCACTTGTCCTGCGTCTCCTCCCAATATCCTCAGTATACAATGCAGCGCACATACTCAGATCGTTCTCGCCGCGATACCTGAGTGTTTCTCGTTCTCAACACCTCCATGTCGTCTATCCAGTTTCCAAGTTGTGCTTTGCCTAGGTCCTCCAGTAAAGAGGTTAGAATAAGGGTACCCTTTTCTCTTGAGTCTATTTTAGTACGGGAACCCTCCCCCAAAAAGGGTAAAAGGGCACTACTGGGGGACCTAGTTGTGTTTCAACAAGCAGCCTCTCAGGGAGATCTTTACTTGGCATCAATTCCTGGCCGGGCTTTGTGACCATTGCTTTAACAGCTCCGTTCACAGCAACTCCCCCCCCCCCCCTGCGCAGTCAAAGTGGCCCCCATACCTGACTTCAATTGAAACTATACCCACCCACGGAACATGGTTCTTGCTCGCCCTGTTTCCCCTCCCCCCCAAACAGGCCGTACCAATGCCTCATGGTTCCCTGTCCAGAAAAAAACAAAATGCACACCCAGCAGTCCTAATGTTTGAATTCATCGAAGGGCGAACTGCAACTGCCAATAATGTATTCTAAGCTCACCTTCAAGTTCCCATGGAAGGGACGGGCGCACAATCGATAACCCAAGGGATATCTAACGAAACTGCCTAAATATATCCGCCATCAATATTCTGACAACTCCTTCTGATCGCAAGCACGTGAGTCGTTGAGTGAGTTGTGCAACCCGTTTCTCGGTTTACCCTGACTTTGTGCGAGGCGCAGTACCCCCCCACCATTGACTAAGTGTGTAGATTACAGGGCCTGGGTATGTTCAAAACTCGGGCTTCGACTGCAGGTTGGAACCATGCATCTCCCTAATGTTCACCATTCTCAGGTATGGGTGGAGGCATAGAGGCTCACATACCAATATAAGTTGGAAAGACTTCATTGACCATCTTTGAGGGCGCCCGGGACTGCAAACCGGGCGGAAATATTGAGTGGTCCCTGTTGCATTTTATGATAGGTTTCACTACTCATTCCACAGGTCCAAGACCATTGGTAGTTCATACACGCTTTACGATTCTTGGTGTGTCTTTAAATAAGTGTCATGTTTTGAATGTCGTTGCCCCTTTGTTCTTCTTTACAGGGAAACCACCAGGAAGCCGAGACCCAGAACACCCGCGGCACGAACACGCCTCGCCAAGACTCCGGGCACCTCATTGAACCCGGTGGCGGTAAAGCCGCCGTCCACATACCTGAAGCCCAACTCATGGCCCCCGTGTTCGGCTTGGCTTTGTGCAACCCAAACTATGGTAGCAATTCTGCAGCCCCTGCCAAAACTCAACCAACAAAAAAAATACACTTGCCGAAAAGAGTGAACTTTAGCCGACAGCGAGCTAACGCCCTCCTTGCTGTTTGAATATTGGGGAGGATTTCGATTATTGGGGAGGACTTCAACGGTTTCATGTTCGTGGATGGAGTATATTTACCCTCAAATACCCCCCCCCCCCAGCTTCCATTTGCCAAAGCCCTCTGAAAAAATGCGTCATCACAATTCCAGTAGTTGTAGATTCCCGCTACTGCCAGGGAAAGGGAAGAAACAGGATTCATTTCGGCCACTGGAAGCAAAAGCCAAGGCAATATCCCCAACCCCTCCCTCAAAGCTGCCCCAAGCCACCCCTCCTCGCCTGGGGCAGAGACCAACCATAACCTTCAGCTCCGAGGGGGAAGATCGCAAACAAAACATACCTCATCATTCCGAGTCGTAGATGTCCTTCAACGCCAGGAAAATGTATAAGCAATCATACAATCTAATTCAGCAGCTACAAGAAAACAACTGTATGTTCAAGCCAGAGAAAAAGGACGAAACCCATCATTTCAACGACGTTGTAGCAGATTCCCCTCAAAAACGCCGGGTTCAGCACCTGGATGCGATAAAATCCAAAGAGTTTTGTCAAGCCGGAGGACCCAGACCAACCACCTCCCAGCTCTTGGGGAAACAAAACCCTCGCCGTTTTGATCGCTAAAACCTTTATGTTAAAGACAGAGGAACACAAGGAACATATAGATTCCCTGAAAAAGCCAGGGTCAGCAACTGGACACAAGGAACAAAAAAGAACACCACAAAAAACACAAGTGTTTGATCGCCAGATCCGGACTCGGCGCAGCGTCTGGCCCGTGATGAAGGCCGCCGCCTCGGAGGCCAGGAAGGCCACGGGCCGCGCCACCTCCTCCACGCGGCCCAGGCGCTGCAGCGGCTTCCGGCCCCGGAAGTCCCCGATGTACGTCCTCGCTCCGTCAAGGCGATGTGGTTTCTTTTGGCCGATAGTACTCTACATATATTGACAATATTGTGTATAGAACATTATTGTATATCCGCGCTTCTTGGTCCAGAAGCAATTAACACATCCAGACCCATTGGCCCATACGTCCCCGTCGGCCAACTGAGGAGCTGGGACCGTGTTTTTGCCCATCATCTTGTGTGTGTGTGTTGTTTGGTCCAAGACCCATGAACAACTCAGACACATATGGGTGCGTGGGTGATCAAGCCGATGCGTTTCTTGGCTGCCCGTTTTCAGCTCCACTGCTAAAAGTGACTCACTTTTAGTGTCCAACCACCAAACAACAAAAAGCTAAAAGGCTAAGCTAAAAGGCTAAAAAGCTAATACCTGGGAGCCACCAAGGTATTTTTAACCGATGGTCTTGTGTGTGTGTGTGTTTCTTGGTCCAGAACCAATGACAAATTCAAACCGCATATGTGTGTGTGAATGTGCGTTTTTTTAGGGCCCCTTTTGTGTCGTGGTTTTCTGAAGGAAAACCGACAAGAAGGCCACCATTTTGTGGGGCTCCCCGAAAAGAATTACATTTCTCTGGCTGTTTCTGGAGTTGAAGTCAGAAACACTTCGGGGGCGACTCTGATACGGGTGAAAGAATGTGGCCAGTTGTAACTAGCGCAAAGAGCTCCTTGGATTTGAGGATGTTGAGGGTTGAACAGGGATCCATACATGAAAAACACCTGAACATTGCCTTGTGAATGGTGGTTTCCCTTTACTTTGGCGGAAAAAGCCATGTTTCAAATGGTTGCATAATGTATCTTTTAAGGAGCCCTGTTGAAAGGAGGTCAAAGTTGCTGAGAAGGTACGAAGGAGCCTGGTGAAATTGTAGACCCGGTACACGCCATTTACCGTCAAGGCCGAGCTGTTCGCAACACATCGGCTCGGCTGACGTGTCGTAGCTCGCTTTTGCAGCCAGGTCGACTCGTTTGCCCCACGTTTGGGGCATTTCAGTGTGGAGTTCGCCAGCCTATGGTGGGTTTGGACTGGTGGCTTGGAGTTGTTCCCGGGTTTCCCACTTGCCCAAGAACCAGAGGTTCAAATCTCCCAAACCCGTCCAAGGTAACCACCAAAGTCTGGTGGAGCTGCTCCAAAATGGTACCATTGGTTTTGACCCAGAGCCAAATGAGGTGATTTCCCTTTTCCAAGGGTAGCTTGAGGGTCCAGGTACCCTTGTTCGTTTTTTGTTCAGGGAAACCAAAAGGAAAACCGAAACGCGCCATGCTGGGGTCCAAATCCTAAAAAGACAGGTGAGCCTACTCACTTGCAACCAAAGTGAATCGACCTGATCTGACCCTTTGGTTTCCCTGAGATGGGAAGAAGGCCTGAGTGGGAACCCCGGATCTAAGTAGAACCCGTCATAGAAGAACTCCCCCTATTACAACCAGAGGTTATTCATCCGGGTTATCATTGATTGGTGGTTGGGAGGGGTTTGGATGGGTACACGAAGGTTAGTATGGAACAGCCCCAGCCATAAATATGTGCGGATATTCCCCTTGTTGCTTGTTTGCATGGTTCTGGGTAGACCATGTTAATACCAGGCGCACCCATTTTAGTCTATCTTAGAGGGGATTGGGATGTTCACTGGGGGTACCCCTTTTGTGGGTCCAGGAACCAACTCCAATCAACGAGCCGCCCCCTGTCAAACCCATACAAAGAGAGCGTTTTCTCATGGGGGGCGGGGATGCTCTCCGTAATAAAAAGGGGGTGCCAACTCCAAAAAAAACGCACCCTGATCAAAAACTGTCAAAGTCAGGGAAAGTCAAGGGTTACAAGGGTGGTTGCAAGCAAGGCTTGCCTAGGCGTGTCTTCTTAGGATTTGAACCCAAAATGGGGTACCAACTCCAAAAGAGGAACCACGCCCTGAGGATCCGACGGGTTGGCCGCCTTCACCAAAGGTGTTTCGATGACCCCCGGCGCCACAGAGTTCACACGGATGCCGAAGCGCGCCCACTCCACCGCCAGGTTCCTAGGGAGTCACGGCAGCAAAGCCACAGATCTCCAGGGAAACAAATACCAACCTGAACCATCAAACTACCCCCCCGGCAATTGCCCCATAATTATTGGGCGGTGTCCCTTTTGTTATCCATCATCTGCATCACGGATTTGATTGGGAACCGCCTCAACAAAAAGATGAAGAAAGAAAGAAAGCAAACCACTGCAGCACACCCGCCCCCGCCCCCCTCCCCACCCCCGCAATAACTGCTCTTTCCCACGTCGTGCCAACTGTCCAACAAGCAGTTGGGGCTGTACACAGCAGCTTTCCATCTGCCCATCAGCATGAACCACGCACTCGCGCTTCACGTGGCTCCAGTTTCGCAAGGCTCCCATGGCACTCCTTTGCCATCTAGTGTAGTGGTTTGATGTTTCGAAGCAAAGAGGCCCCCAAACCCTGTGTCCTTCCTGAGAGCGACAACTATAAATATATTCTTCCTGATGGACATAGTATACCTATTTTTTGTGTGTGTGTTTTTTTGTTTGTTATTTTTGTGTTTTTCTCCCGGGAAGACTAAGATTAGAGGAGGTTACCCTGGTTCCTGGTTTGGGCGCTCGAACCCCAGCATCTTTACAAACCAAATGGGGAAGGTACCCCTTAACATCCAAACCACCAAACCAAACTACCAATTAGTGACTCGTATCATGGTCGCAGAAATATGGTCCTTACTGTGATACCCCAAAAATAGATTTCAAATCCATCCTCATGGCTACAGCTAAGCAACGAACACAACTGCGTTGCAACAGGTGACAACTGACGCCAAAACAATCGTCGAGCCAAGGATCCGAGTCATCTGATCCATGGCCGCTTTGGAGGCGGCATAGGGAAAACCGGAAGGGATGTGAGTACAACCTGCGCGGGTGCGCGGGATTGAGTGCCCCACTGAGGTTGCCTAAGGAACGAGTCCCGGCCCCAAATCCCGTTGAAAACTCAAACATACCCGAAATGGCGGCTGTCATTCTCAAAGGACGAGCGAACAGCTGCGAATAGTCCCAACCGCACCGATGGCAACAATGGCGCCAGTAAGGCACTATGAACACCTTTCGGGCTGCCATAGTTGTTTTGCATGTTGAAAGGGAAACCGAAAGCAAACCATCCACTCACTTCCTGAGTGGATTGACCAAACAGAGTCTGAAAACTATATTTACGCCAAACATGGCCTTCCCAAAAAGTATAAAGTCCAAGAACTCGGGGAGCGAATGCATCTCTGCATTCCCTCTATGTAGACACAATCCCATTTGGGCAAGTTTGGACTCGTGGCAGCCCTCATGAGTTGGGTAGCAACCTCCATTTGGCTATGGGTCAAAACCCCGTACCCCCAGTGAACATCCTAATCCAACCACTAAAATAGGTTCTAAAATGCGTGGTGCACCGAACACCCCCCAAAATGGGATCCCATTGAATTGGTTTTGACCCCGGCCATTTTTGGGAAGAACCTCCCCTGCATTTATCCAGACTGAAAAAGCTGCCGCTGGATTTGGGTGAAGCCTCATGTCCCATTGCCACACCAAAACTTCCATTTGCTTGAGCCCCTGGAGAAGAAAAAAGCAATTTCCAGCAGTGATAGATTCCCTTCAACACCAAGAGAGAACACAACACATTCTTAAGCAAATGGAAGGAAGCCACCTCACCCCCCCCCTCCCCCACACCACACCAAACCCATGGCCAAAGTCGCCTGCCACTGAGCTAATGTTCACCACCGCGGCGCCGCGTTGCGAGCTGCGCCGCGCATTGGCGGCGCGCAGGAACGGCAGTGCGGCCATGGTCAGCCACCTGAGCCGTCAGTGGGAATTTCGGGACGTTGGCAACTTGCTTTTTGGGAAACCCCCTACAACAACTCGGTTCCTTGCCGCTCCCCTGCTAAAAGCTTAACTTTTGGTGGTTTAATACGGAAAACCCATTAGTTGGCGAAAAGTTAAAGTCCTAACATCCAAGCAAAATGCACCAAAGAAAAGGAAGAAAGGACATAAGGTCTGGGGATGGATGGAAACCAACTGGTTTCCGGGATGAGCTGCTTGCACTCACTTGCCCAAAGGACCTGGAAACAGAAGCTTATCCTTTTGGATCTCTAAGAAGAATGGAGCAAAAACGAGAAAACCAAAAGATCAGATCTGGTCAATTCGCTTTGGTTGCCAGTGACAAGGATCCCCGTCCCTCCAAAATGGGTGTCGTCGCTGTGTCGCTTGGGCTTCCCTTCAACAACCCAAGGATTCCCACATCCCTGGCTTCCTTTTAGGGAATCACCAATGTTCAGTCCTCAAACCCCGGAAATTCTCTTCAGAGCCAGCAAGCTGGAAGTCATGAGCTAAGGGACAAAGCGTGTCGCTTAAATTGGAGATAACTCCCATGTGTTTGGAGGGAAGCTGAGCAAGTTGTGATTCATTCCCGAGCCGGAAATCGCGGAAATGAGGCGAACATCCCCTGGCAAACAGCCTTGGCTCAATTTACCCCCAGGTGAGCTTGTTATGTGTCCAGCTAAATGTTGACCCAAAACCAATGGAGAAAACGAATTGAAAGGGGGTCAAGGAGAAACAAGAAATGCCCAGTGGATCCATTTACCTGTAGGTAACCAAGGGCATGCCACCCTTTCAAGACTAGGAAACTAGCTGGTGAGCAACGATGAGGGCTTGCCTGGGATCCACTGAAATGAAAAGCAAAGCAAAGAGCGGTGCCCATGCCTTTTGCTAAGCTTCACTTGCCCAGAATGGGCCTCACCTATGGCCCAGATCCGCAGGGTGGATACATATCGGCCCAAAACCAGTTGATGCTACCTGGACCCTCAAAGTGCCCGTATGAAAGGGAAATCACCCAACATATTTTTTGGGGCTAGTTTGAGGGCTTTTAGATACCTTTCTTGTTGGATTGGCCAAGTGACTATTCATTCAAGTGTGCCAGTGGTGCATACTCCTCATTTACTGTTGCAAAATCTATCAGGTTGTCATTCAAGGAAGCTGAGATTATGTGAAGCTGAGATTACATAAACTTGTGGTACACAAGCTTTCTTAGATTACCACTGTTTCAATGCCCCACACACACAGAAAACCGGCCAGAACAGCAGCGTAAAAGCGAGAAAGGCCTGCGAACCAGGTGGGTTTCGCAATCCGTTCTTCCCCAAACAGCTTGACTACTTGGCGGTTCGGCCAAGCTAGTAAGTTGTTGATAACCTAGGCCCGGGAATGTAGGGTTAACCTTGTCGGGGCGTGAACTGCCCCAATTGGCCAAGCACGCAGACAAACTTGGCGAATCGAACATCCAAGCGCCATACGTTTTCTTTCGAGGCGAGGCGCATGCAGGACATGAAGTTGGTATTGAAGACCTGGTCGAAGTCTTCTCGTCTAAAGTCCTCGGCCCTCTTGCGCACGTTGGTGCCACAGTTGTTCACCAAGATGTCCAGCTCTTTCCAGGGCAACTTGGCCAAGAGATCCTCCCAGGTTCCAAGTGGCTGCAGCTTTCGAATTGGCCCTTGTGGAATATGGTCTCATTGTCAACTCATCGCTTTGGGACCATTTGGGCGTCGTTTTCTAGGTCGCCCCCCCCCTTCCCCCCGAAAGAAAAAAAGAGGGAAAACAAGAAGACAAAAGCAAAGTCTACATTTGACTGTCAGTGGTCGTATGGTGCTGCACCCTTTACCCGTGGTATGATCGTTCTTATGCCATGGTTGGAGCAATTGGCTCCAGGGTATCTTGAGGCAAAAACAAACAAACCTTGCCCAGAGTTTACCCACATGTGACATGTGGCGAACAACTTCTCCATGTGAAACACAAATTGCCGCGCTGAACAATCTCTCTTTCAGGCCAGTGCCTGAAACACAACCCACGGGTACAAAAAAGAACTGCACGGGAGCCTGGGGGTCCAACGCACAAAGTTGCTGACGCAAGTGCCCAGTGCGGACCTGGAAATACAAGCTTCACCTTTTGGAGCCTTGACGAAATATGTGGCTTGCCCCTCAAAAGACACACCCTGGGTTGTTTTAGTGGAGAGGTTGGAATAAGGGTACCCATTTTTTTCTGCAGCCTATTTTAGTAGGGGAACCCTCCCCCAGAAAAGGGATAAAGCCACTACTGGGGGACCTAGCACCCAAATGGAGGTCTGCGCCTTCTTCTCCCAACCGCCCAGGCCTTGGTGCCTTCTTCTTTGGACAAATCCGCGGTCAGCGCGTGGCATTTCCCCGGAAACTGCTCAGCCACCTGCTGCAGCTCAGCCTCTCCGCGCGCGCAAATGGCCACCTGGAACTGACGAGATGCTGGCGGCGGCTTGGCTCAACCATGGGGGACCCCAGGCAACAAAATCGGCTTCAAGTGCTCATGTTGGCTTCCCTTTAAAGGACGCTGGAAAGGGTATCTCAAAAAAAGAGAGACCCCAAACCTGGGTTGACCTTGGAAGGGGAGGTAAGAATAAAACAGTTAGATAATTGGATTTCAACCACTAAACAACAAACAAAAAGGTAAAATGTTTTCCAACAACAACCATGAAACAACGGACTTTGGTTTCTAAGTGTTCATGTTGGCTTCCCCTGTAAAAGAAGCTGAAACGGGTATCTTCCAAAAAAAGAAAGAAGCAAGGCCAATGGGTTGAAACTCTGCACATTAGACATCGAACCTAGCTTGAAGCGAAAGGGTCCCAAAGGGTTCCCTTGACGTCGAGAACGTTTTACTGGGTCATTTGGTGCTTGACAAAGTACCACGGAAGGTTAAGTTGCAAGTGACTCGTTTGCATTGAAATGTGTAGATCGTTCCCCCCTTGGAAAAGGTGTCTTGGGGAAGACTTCGGCCTTAACATGGTGTAACCAAAGTGAAGGGACATCGCCCATAAAAAGATAAAGAGGGAAAACACCCCATCAACTTGGCTTTGCAATAAACCTTTGAATCTTTCAACCTTTCACTACAAGGGTCACACATTTCCTCATCCACATCATTCTTCAACACCTTTCTGGGAAGTTTGCGAAACTTGAACACCCCTAAAAAACGACTCTCTTGGGTTGCTATCATCCATTTGTCTGGCAATTTTGCGGCTTGAAAACTTGAACACCACAACTAGACCACGGTTGGCCCGAAAGCAGAACATCGCAAGCGAGGTCGGCCCAACGCTGCAGGATGCGTTCTTTTTCCCTACACGAAGCATTCGTGAAGCAAGCGCGAGACAGCACCAGGCAAGGTGCTCTGCGCAAACTGGTCGGTGCAAGTTGGTCTGCGCAAGTTGCTCTACGCAAGTTGCGCTGTGCAAGTTGCTCTGCGCAAGTTGCTCCGCGCAAGTTGCTCCGGCAAGTTGGTCCCTGCAAGTGGCTCCCTGCAAGTTGCTCTGTGCAAGTTGCGCTCCCTGCAAGTTGCTCTGTGCAAGCTGCTCTGTGCAAGTTGCTCTGTGCAAGTTGCTCTGCGCAAGTTGCTCTGCGCAATTTGCTCTAGGCAAGGCGCTCTGCGCAAACTGGTCGGTGCAAGTTGGTCTGCGCAAGTTGCTCTGTGCAAGTTGCTCTGCGCAAGTTGCTCTGCGCAAGTTGCTTTAAAAAATGCAAGTTGCATCTTGCGACGACCGCCCGCGGACCAGGGAGGAATCGAACCCGCGACCCGCCGGTTCCGGGAGCAGGCGCGCGAACCATGAGACAACTCCCGAGGACCAGATCGAACAACAAAAGTCGCAAAAAACCTCGAGATTTTGCACCTCGCCCACGCCGATTCCCGCAGAGGGTTGCGCACCGCAGAAATCGCAAAAAACCTCGAGTTTTTGCACCTCGACCACGCCGATCCCCGCAGAGGGTTGCGCGCGGGCACCGCAGAAATCGCAAAAAACCATGGGTTTTTGCACCTCGACCACGCCGATCCCCGCACAGGGTCGCGCGGGCATGTTGGAAATCGCAAAAAACCATGGGTTTTTGCACCTCGACCACGCCGATCCCCGCAGAGGGTCGCATGGGCATGTTGGAAATCGGAAAAAACCATGGGTTTTGCACCTCGACCACGCCGATCCCCGCAGAGGGTCGCGCGAGCATGTTAGAATTTGCAAAAAACCATGGGTTTTTGCACCTCGACCACGCCGATCCCCGCAGAGGGTCGCGCGGGAACTTTAGAAATCGCAAAAAACCATGGGTTTTTGCACCTCGACCACGCCGATCCCCGCAGAGGGTCGATTTTCGTGTAGTGTCGTCGGCACTACCCCGCCGCCCTAAGAAGAGATTTTAACTCCTCGCAAGTCAATTGCACTTGACTCCTTGCACTTGCAACTTGCACTCGGCTCCTTACACTTGCAACTTGCACTTGCGACTCCATGCACTTGCAACTTGCACCTGACTCCTTGCACTTGCAACTTGCACTTGACTCCTTGCACTTGCAACTTGCACTTGACTCCATGCGCAGCTCGCAATGACTCTCATGACTCCTTGCAATGACTCCTTGCAATGACTCCTTGCAATGCAATGACTCCTTGCAATGACTCCTTGCAATGACTCCTTGCAATGACTCCTTGCAATGACTCCTTGCAATGACTCCTTGCAATGAATGACTCCTTGCAATGACTCCTTGCAATGACTCCTTGCAATGACTCCTTGCAATGACTCCTTGCATTGACTTTCATGATGATGATTCCTTGCAATGACACCTTGTAATGACTCTCATGAGAACAACTCAAGTGAACCCAGCGGAAGAACCCTTCGCCATGCTTTCGGGAAAAAAAGGCTCCATCCATGGAGACAAGTCATATCCTCTGCACTTTCGCAAGGACAAACGACTCACTCCACGGTTGCTGTCGATCCCCCGACTTTTGCAGGTTTGAAAGGAAATCCCAGAGGGTCCAAGTACATCATGAGGATTGTTTTTGGGGGGTAAAAAGGGGTCTAAGTACCTCCTTAGAAGGCACTTGGACCCTCTGCAAATATAAGGGGCAAGGTTAAGGTCGAAAGATCCAACCCAACAGCAGTGGAGTCTCCACGCATCCGCTGCAGACCCTCCCCGCCGACCCGCCGAAGCGAACCTCCGCGCCGAGGCGGAGCAGCTGCTCCGCGCAGGCGCGGCCGATGCCTTTGGAGCCCCCGGTGACCAGCGCCTTGCGGCCCTGCGGGTGGCTACGGGGGGAAGGTGGTTTTGGGCGGGGGGGGTGGTGGTGGGCGATTTTGGGTGGTGGGTAGGTTTGAGGGGAGGTGGGGGGGGAGGGTGGGGGTGCGGAGGGGGGGTGGAGCTTTCTTGGGAAAACAACCACGTAGGGCTCGGCAAAATGGAAACCAAAGGGAAGCGCAAAACAAGGACAAACAGTCCGGCAACTGTCTTAGCGTTGGACCCCTACTTTTAGAAAAATGTGCTACGGGCAAACGACAAAGTCGTGACTAAGTCACTCCTTTATCTCTGTGGCCATGTGCTCCCCCATGTAAACGCCGTCACTCCTAAGTCACGCCTCGGCAACAATCCCCATGGAACGCTTGACATCACCGGGCTGATCATGCAAAAAAACAAATGTGTCAACACTGAAACACAACGGAACACCAACGATGGCAAAGCATGTTTTCCAGCCCCGCGAGGCGTCTGCAGGAACATGAAAACCAATGGAACGCCAAGCATATGATGGGTTGTTGGATGTTGTTGGCACCCGCTCCCATCAACTCTCTTTTGCACCCACTTTTCAACTCAATTCCGCAGCCAGCCGCTCAAGCGCGCCCGCTCAGCCCTGCGCGCACGCCAGCCAAATGGTAAGCACCCCCGCTCAAGCAATTCGGCTCAGCGCCGCACACACGCCAGCCAAATGGTAAGCACCCCCGCTAAAGCGCACCCGCTCAGCTCTGCACACACGAAAGGTTAGTCCAGGTGAGAGGAAAAGCAAGGTGCCGACTCGAACCAGCTGTAGCAAAAGAGACGTCATGTCTCAAGATTGCGAAACACTCTGTAAACGCTCCTTGGTGGATAAGATAGAACATGCCTAAACCATCCTAAACCCAACGGCATGACCATTTTCAACTGCAATGCCTCCCAAAAGCCTATGACTTCAAACCTGCAGAGTTAAAAGGCACTGCTTCGAAACCCTCTCCCCCATTGAATTTCAGCATGCCTCAAACGCAGGCACGACCTTGTCAAATCTCTGTACCAGTATGTTTAAGCTTTGGTCCAATGAAGTGCGCATTCATTCTGCTGTCAAAGAGGCCAGCGGGGGAGGGTGCAAAGGAAAGGAGCGGGGGCGTAGAGAGAAAAAGAAACAAGGTTGACAATGGTGAAT